TCTGACTCTGGGCAGGCTACAATCGCCAGAAAAAATATCCTTAACAACCAGAGATGGTAATCTCTCTTTCCCAGCCCACAGAGAAAACAGCTGGTTAATCTACAGTTGAGCAAGAGCACATGGTCCCAGGAGTAGATGGGTAATGTAGTTTTGATTTTTTCCTCCTGGGCCTTGGCAGGCCAAATTGGAATTACTACTTGGAGCGGCTACAACTAAGCAGCCTTTCCAAACCATACTTGCATCTAAGCTGCTAAATCATTCCCTGCAATATCACTAACGATGTATTTGTGCACGAGGTCATGAACAACCCCTCCTCCCCTCCTTTTTGGCCCCATGCAATCTGGTTTTCCCTATCTCTGTTGTTTGCTACAGGTTTCTCATTCTCTCCCTAGGCAGAAACTATCATTAAAGCCCTCCACTATCCCACCCTGGGGAAACATACTCTGATGGCTAAAACCAGGCCCTGAGGGCAACCTGGTTGCTGCCAATTCAAGACATAACTACTAAAGTTTTGCACCCTGGGGCAGGTTTCTGAAACTTGGTGGGTTTATGTCCCACAGTAGTAAAGTAAAGCACTCTTGTGCCCCCTTACTTCAGCCACCATCCCCACTTACTCCCACTGCCAAGTGCCACCCCCTACCCCTGACACTGAGTGCCACTTATTTGCCCAGCCAGTAGCAATGGGCACTAGGAAATTTGGCAGCATGAGAAGTGGCAGCTGCCAAATGGGAGTGGGAGAGTGGCTGAAATACAGGTTTGTCCAACCCCAGTAGCAGCTGCTCCTGCAGTAGTGGTGCAGTGTCCCAGCATGCACCTGCTGCTGGTATTGTCACAGCACCAACTCTCCGACTCTCCATTCTGGCACTCGCTCCAAGTCAGTGCCTTAGACTGATGGCCTGTTCTCTCGCATGTAGTTACGCTACTGCTGCCAACACTGACACCTGATCAGACAGTCCGGCTAATGGAGAGAGACTGGAGACAGGTGAAACAGGGATTCTTCACACCAAACCCCTCTTCACCTCCGTCTCTGTCCTCCAAGGGTCTGCAAGTCCCAGAGCAACTGCCATCACTGACATACACAGGCTCTCATTCCTGATGGCAATAGCTGGAACTGGTCCAGCTCTGGATATTATACCCTGCATTTCACCTTTTTCTTGTGTAATTTTCCATTTGTGTATGCGCATGTATATGCAATGCCGCTGGTGCTGGGAGGGCTCTAGTTTTCCTCCTCTCTGACTTCTGTATTCTGTCTGTGCTGTGTAACACTGCAGGCATGACTTGTTCAGAGCTGGGTAGAGCCAGATTTAATACCCACAGAAGATCATTTTGAAAGTGCACTGGGTCTTACGCCTTTGTTTATAATGCTTGGCTGCTATATCCCACTGAAAATGCCAGTCTCCGTTTGGTCCTTCCCCATTGTGTGCACATATAGTTTTCATAGACATTAGGGCTGGGACCTCGTAGAGTCCCGTGGCTCTCAGTCTCTCTTTATAAGGCCTGCTGTCTTGCCCTCTGATCATGCACATGGCTCTCCTCTTGACTCTCTCATACATTATTCCTGGTGGCTCTTTGTCTCTGTGTCTTTTACATCAGTGTTTCTCAACCTTTTAAGTAGCAAGTACCCCCTAAATTCTGAAAATTTTAATAAGTACCCCAACACTTAATTTTCCAGGGGATTTTATATTTACAGACTAATGTGTGCCATATTTTGGAAGAAGGGCTGTGTATATAAGGCAGTGATATGACAGATGTCTGATCTGGTGTGGGTAGGGTACAACTCAAGTATGTACCTGGGCTAGAGGTGATGTTGGCCAAAGCTAGGAGGGCTGAACCCAGTGCTGCGCACCAAATTATTACTGGGGAATTTAAAGCGTTACACAATGCATGGCGCACCAATTTTTTTTTGCCATAGTTTTGAGAGGAGGAAAGGGCAAGAGAGAGAGGAAAACTGAGCAAGCGAGAGAGAGTTTTGGGGTCCCCGCGTACCCCCTGCCTGTGGCTAATGGACCTCCAGGGGTACGTGTACCACAGGTTGAGAAACTATGTTTTACATCTTTCCCCCAGAACAGTTTACAGTGGTGCTGCTACCAGAATCCTGCAGACGGGCATTTCACACATTAGAACTGGGGTGGCTGTGATTTGCAAGACCTGAGTCCAAAGGAGGCAACATGTGGCTGAGATCTAGGATTTTGCACTTCTTGATGCCAAGAGTTACTCAGTTCCTGACCATTCAGAAATATGCAGCGGCCTTGGCAACTGACATACGCTATTTGGGCGTTTCTGCCTCTTCCCTCCAGCAAAGCCTGTTGTGGGCCTCGGGAGCCCTAGAGAGGAAAGAACATTTATCCATCTTGCAGAATCATATAAGAGTCCCAGTCATGGACCAGAGCTGCTTTGTGCAGCCCTCACTGAAACACTGTTTAGTAATACATGCTGCTTGCAAAAAGGCTCTGCTGAGCCATTGATCAATGTAGATCTCCCTGAAACCGTGGCTCCCACACAAACTGCTTACACAAGCTTAAGCTGGAATACATATACATGATTAACTTGTGTAGATTCATCACAAGGTTGATTAATAAGACTGGTACTGGATAGTTTAAAACACTAGATAACAAAGAGATATACAAGGAAGGGTTTTATTTATACTCAGCGTGGGATGATATTGTAAAATGTTTTAAGTGCAAAGTACAGGAGATCTGTGATTTAAATAGAATGTGTTTCAATCACTAGATAAAAGACAAATTAGAACACTTTGAAACTTTGGATTAGCCTAGGGGAAGCTATATGCAAGTTGTGCTAATACCTTGTCAAAAGCATCTAGGGCAAGGGCAGACAATTATTTTGGGCGGAGGGCCACTTACTGAGTTTTGGCAAGCCATCAAGGGCTTCATGACAGGCAGCCAGGGCAGATTAATATTAATTTTCTAAATTTTTTAGGAGCCCCATGGGCCAGATAGAATGGCTTGGCAGGCCGCATGTGGCCCGCAGGCCGCATTTTGCCTACCCCTGATCTAGGGCCAATACCTTGCAATCAATTGATCATGAGCATTAATGAGTAGGTGCTTTGTAGATAATAAACCTGGATGAGCCTTTGCCACCAAGCCAAGCCTGTAGTCCAGCGGTTCTGAACCGGGGGTACATGAAACCTCATCGGGGGTATGTGAAATATATTTCATACGTTGTCTAACACAGGTCGAAAGGTCTAAAAAATCAATTTCCCATTGAAAAGGGGATACATGAAGTCTCACTCTGAGACCAAGGGGTATGTCGACTGAAAAAGGTTCAGAACTGCTGCTGTAGTCATTCTTTCTATGGCATCAAGGTCTTCAGGAAAACACACACTACCAGCAGCAACAGTAGCAGTGCATGCAACACCACAGCAGCATGCACACAGAAAACCATACTGACTACGTATTGAGGACAACACTTGGTGCTGTACAAACAATAACAGGTCAAACCCAGTAGGCTACAGCTCCCAGTTTAGCTTCCTGCTAAAACTGTCTGTGTAGAAACTCAAATATATTTAAGACAGTGTCATATTATAGTGCAGGACTCTTGGGGTCTATTCCTAGATATACTGCTGGCCTGGTGCATGCCTTCAAACAAGTAACTTCCATTTTCTGTGCCTCCCTTGGAAAGGAAAAATCTGGACTGCTATTCCTTGTGAATCACTTCTGAGCTGTGTGGAGTTGTTTACATTCCCCAAGTTACAATGTGAAGTGAACTTTATTTTTCCCCTGCTTCTGGGCTTTGCTGGTTGCTACATGGAGCCAGGAAGGATTTTCCCCTGCCTCCTGTTGCTACAGGTGTTAGGGTTTTATTTGTTTGTTTGCTTTTGCTTTCTCCTTCCTTAAAAGGATTGGGCATGGGCTTCAGGCAAGCCTCAGGATTTTGACTGTGTTGTGCCAATACCCTTGATGGAACTAAAAAGCCCAGAGATTCCTGGATAGAAAGTCTTGCCTCTCTGTCTCTATCAAAGTCGGGTTGATCAATTAATTTGGGATCAGAAAGGAATTTTACCCCACAATCAGACTGGCACAGGCTTGCAGGGAAAGTACCTTCCTTTGAAGCGGCAGGCATGGCCCTCTTCCTTGGATCTCTGAAATGTAATTTTAACAATTTTGCAATGGCAGGATATTGCCAGTGCCCTCCTTCCCTTGCTTTACCTGCAGCAGGTTAGGATGTTCTTGGTGTTTTGTGCACTACGCCTTGCAGTTATATACAACAGATTTTTTGCAGTTTTAGGACTAGATTAGACAAGCACATGCATAGAATGATTCAGATAGGGATAATCCTGCTTCATGCAGGGGACTGGACTAGATGATCTCCAGAGGTCCCTTCCAGTCCTACTTTTCTGTGATTTTGAAATGCATGGGTCCCCAAGTTGGTGTCAGTCAGCACCATCAGGGATAAAATGAGCCAGATTCTCATCTGGTGTAAACTGCCATAGGTTCAACTGAAGCCAGCAGTGCAATGCTCATTTACACCAGCTGAGGATCAGGCCTCAAGTCTGGGGTGTAAATCCTGAAGCCAAGGGACAGGAGAGGCTAGATGAGCTTAGCCTGCTCTGTAACAGAATCTCACCCACCAATCCTTGCAAGGAAAGCATTTGTTTTTTTCTTTCTTTTGACACCTATTACCCTCCCACAGCCTGTGAACAAATCAATAGGCAGCAGGGAAGGAAATACAGGGATGCAGCTCTTCGTCAAAATCTGGAATAAAAATTCCCTTATGCCATGTTTCTGCCCCAGGAGGCACAGAGGGAAGAGGATACCGTAGCTATTGCCACCAGAGGGCTCTGGTTATTGCTAAGGGCTCTCTTCCTCTCTCTTTTTTTTCAGGATATCAGGGGGCTGAGCTTCCTGGGTCAGGCACTGCTAGCAGCTGCATCCATAGTGACCTAAGAGCCTGGGCTGTGCAGCTGCTGCTCCCCCAGCGGGTCTGTGTCAGGGAGAGACCTTCAGCAAAGCCCCTCTCTGCTCAGCCCAGGGGGAGCTTCCTGCAGGGGCTGGTTCCAGCCCCCCAGGGACAGGCCCGGGCTCTGCAGACACCAGCTCCAGAGCCGGAGACTCCAGGTAATGGGAACAATTCAGTCTTAGATGTGGTCAGGAGAGTGACTGCAAAAATGGCTCCTTCCCCCCATCTCTTCTCCTGGTGGGTCTGAGACTCCCAGAGCTGCTGCCGTCACTGACACACAGGCTCTGGCTCCCAATAGCACTTGCAGGAGCTGATCCAGCTATGGGAGAAGTTAACATTTTCTTTTGTGCGTGTATGTATGCATAATATATATATATATGTATGGTCTGAGTCATTTGACTGGCTGATGGGAGCATTAAGCTGTGCATAATTTGGGGATAATAAAAGTTTGGTTTAAAAGCAGCTAGTATAATCATGCTGACTTGTTTAATTGTAGGATTTAATCGGTGAGCATTTGGAAAAGTGCCTTTGCTAGAGAAGGAGGAAGAAAGTGGCAGAGCTGCTAACTGGGGAAAAAGAATGCGATCAGATGATATTAAAATCAGCTGTTAGATCAGAGAATTGAAAGGTAGCAAATGTACTTATTTTAAATGGGTTGTGTCTCCTAGAATAGCAAAGCAGAGCATCTGTATTTACCAATACCTGGAAAGTTATTTCTGGCAAAACTTAAATATGTTTAAAGGTTCAGATTGATGTAATAGGGACTAACTACATGGCTTCTACAAAGATCTGATGAAGTGAGCTTTAGCCTATAAAACTTGCGTTCTCTCAAGTTAGTTCATATCTGCCCTGCCTTTTGACTGACTTCCGATTAACACAGCTAGCTACCTCTGTCTACAAAGAGATGCCATGGTGATCTGATCTAGTTCTTTAATGCAATAGTGGACGAAAGAGGAACAGTAGATGGGCTTTATTTGGACATTAAAGAAACCTTTGAAGAGGCTATTAAGAAATAAAGTGATTCTGGGATGAGAGGCAAACTTTTGTCCTGGATTGGTAACTGGACTAGAAACAGTGGGGAAGAAATGGTTAGTTAACACACAAAGTTAACAAAGGTGCCACAAAGATCTACCCTGGTTCTGATTAGCATGCTGAAGCTTTTTAAAAGACACGAGCAGCAAGGTAGCAGATTTTTCAGGCTATCCAAAAATTATTGAGGTTATTTAAGTATAACTTTCTGCAGAGGGATCTTGGGAAGGTATGTGAATAGACAACACAGGTGCAAACATGATTCGGTGCCGATGTGCATTATCTAGCATTCAATGGAGGGCATAAGTCTGGGCTCAGTGTTGAAGTTTGGGACATATAGGATGGTTGAATTAGGGGTTGTTGGAGGCATTCTGTGCTGAGTGATCAGAGGACTAGCATTAACTACACAGACAGTTTATGGAGCATAAAAACTAGTTTTGTATGTAACAGGCTTAAAGAGAGAGACATGCTCAGTTGGTATAAATCAGCTTAGCTACATTGATAGACACCAGCTCTGGATCTGGCCTAGAGTGGGTGAGGCTGGCATGTGGAAAGTGGGGATATGCCATGAGCACTGACCACCCTATTGTGTTACCTTCAGCATATCCCTTCAGCGTGCACAACTGTACAGTAAACCTGCCTGCCCCTTGCTCCTTTTCCACCTTGATTACCTTGCTGCCGTTCATCTAGCTTGCATGTTGAGCAGGTCAGCCTCACCTATCCAAAGAGAATGCAGTGCTCCTGTGCTCTGGTCTGCTTGGCACTTGCACCCATCTTGCATGGTTATAAAGAATTGAAACGGGACAAATATAGTACAAAGCTCTAAATTGCATTGCCAGAAGAGCAATCTGAGCTGCCATATAGCCACCAACCTTGCCATTCTTAGGGTGGGGAAATAATTATTTATATTTGAAGAGAGAGTCTGATAGCCTGCACACTCCTGAGAGTATAAGAGTCTACTACTGCTGCCAGATGGTAGAGTTGCCCCTTGAGTTTTAAGAGCAAGCAGGTGTGAGCATTGGTGCAGAAAATCCTGAGACCAAACCCTGCTGCTGATGTGTTTGTGTCAGTAGCTGTTACTCAAGGCTGCAGGAGCCCCTTGCATCCTTAACTACAGTATTGAGTCTTAATGATGCTTTTACCTGGTGACTAAGAGAGGTAGCAGGCAGGAGAAGGTGAAATCTAGCCAGCAGGTTGGCCCTATTTCATTGAGACCAAGCCACTCCAATAATGAAAAGGGGGCTGTTTGTTATATCTAGTGAAGGTATTTCCATTTTGGGAGGATTAGATATTGAAGAACTTAAACCAAATGTTTTCTCTGAAGCCCATGCATTTTTCTACTTCATTTGTTTCCTCTCCTCTTTTCTACCTGCCTCTCGTCTTTTGAGAGGTCCTGTCAATCTTGGATTCTTAAGCTCCCATTGCTGATGCATGTGAGCACCCCTCCATCTCAAGTGCACTAAGGAGCTGCGCTAGGTTAAACTTTACTGATGGGAAACTGAGGCACAGGGAGACTAAGTGATTCCCTCAAGACCATGCAGACCAGAGAGCCCTGGATCAAGGCTAGTATCCAAACTCCTTCCCCTGTTCAGTCTGTGCTGTAACTAATCCAGATAGTTCTGAGTGGCAGCAGATGACAGAACAAGGAGCAATGATCTCAAGTTTCAGCAAGGGACGTTTAAGTTAGATATTAGGAAAACTTTCTCACTAGAAGAGTAGTAAAGCACTGAAACAGGTTACCCAGGAAAGTTGTGGAGTCTCTGTCGTTGGAGGTTTCTAAGACTCGGCTAGACAAAGCTTTGGCTGGGATGATCTAGTTGGGGATGGTCCTCTAGATTCCCGTATGAAGTCTGGGTGCTGCAAAGCTGGGCTTCAGTTCCTTATGGGCAGTCAGGGACTCGCCCAGATCACATGGAGAGTGCTATGACAAAAAGTTTCTGCAAAGCCAGAAACTAGCTGGAGGTGATAGCAGGCAAGAAGTTTGGAATCCAATCAAGGGTCTAAACTCTATGGAGAAAAACATCTCTAGTACTTAATCACTGTGGTCACAAATTTTTTCATAAATAAAATTGAATTTTCTAACAAAAAGATCTTCCTTGAAAATTTTTATGCCGCATTTTGATTTCTCAGAGAGAGAGAGAGGGCATGGTCCCCTTCCTTGTTGCTCTTGAGTGTATTTTAAAAACTACTTTTCTGTGCTGACAGTGGCAGGACATTGACAGTACCCTTGTTCCCCTGCTTCATCTATGGTAAGTTAAAGGCTTTTTTTGATGTTACAGACATGCTTCGAAGTTGTGCATGAGGGTTTGTTCCCAAAGTTTTTAAAAAGAGGTTATACAAGGGCATGTATACACCTACGTGTGTCCGCTCCAACATGCTGGAGATCTGGTGCATCAAAGCAGACTCGATTAATGAAGTCTGCTCCACATGCGAGCTGACGTGCCTGTTGCCACCTTGCATGCATTTGTATAATGGCTAAATGCACGTCAGCACTGAGAAAATGGTAGTGCTTTTCTGAACTAAAACACCTTTGATGTGTTTTAGTTCAAAAGCATATCTCTGCCACTTTGTCAGCGCTGACACGCGTTTCGCCATTTATACGAATGCATGCACTGCAGTGCCAGGCACTTTTAAAAGCACTCAGCGTTGCCACACAAGCATGTGTACAAAGCTCCCAAATGCTCATCTAGGATGATTTAGATCAGGAGTAGGCAACCCCTGGCACGGGTGTCAGAGCATGGCACGCGAAGGCTTTTTGCTTGGCACGTGTGCCTTGGGGCAGATGGTGGGGAAAGGGCCGGGGCTGCACTGCCACAGCAAAGATCGGGTCCCTCATGGCTCCTCCACCATCTGCCCCTGGAACACCAACTTCTTACAAGTAAAGGTTGCACATATTTTTGGCACTCTCCTCAAAAAACATCGCCAACCCCTGGTTTAGATGATCCATTTTGAGCAGGAGGTTGGACTAGAAGTGACCTCCAGAGCTCCTTTCCAGCCCTATTTTTCCTATGCTTCTTGTTTCAATTTGTCTCAGGTTTTTGAAAAGCAAACCTATATATATATATATAGATATATAGAGATATATATAGATATATATCTAGTCTGTATAGATTTTCTTGAAAACATTAAAACAAGCATTTTTTTCTTTTTAAAGTTTTGACTAAAATTGAAATGTTTTTCAGTGTCAAAACCCCACCTCCCATGAAACTTGATGATCAAATGTAGCTGAGGCTTCTTTGCAAAGTGCCCTCCATTCCCACTAAATATGTGCAGTAACTGTGTCAACCACGTATCCTACCCCCTCAGGTGGACTTCTGTTGTGTTCTGTGAAGGTTGTTTGACTTTGGGGATTACTGTGGTTTGAGCATCTTCCAGGAGGCAATTAAGCAACCTGACTACCATCAGTCATGGGACTGTTCTGTCATCGTGTTTCTAGAGGGAGAGATTCATTTAGCAGAGGGTTTTTTTGTTTTGTTATTTTTTGTTTAATTCTTAAATGAGTGCAAGTGTACACATGCATACTTTGCTACATATATTTTAGGGAAGGTAAAGTCAAAGAAATGATCCCCGCACTTGGATTGGAAGGTGATAAGGTTAATGACAGCCCTTCAATTCTGTAAGATTTCATTTTACAGACTTGGGCTGATTGCCAGCAAAGCTTCATTTCTGGCAGTGTGGGGCAAAAGCAATATATGGGGTAGATCAGTGTAGTTGTAATGGAGTCGTTTTATACTGGCTGTGGACTTAATCATTTTGAACCTGTTCTTTTAGCCTTTGCTTACTAACTGCTTCCTGGAATGAGGAGTTACAGGGTTAGGGGGATATTGGACAAATCAGTTCTGGGGAAACAGGGAGTTATGCAAAAGGAGAAGCCCATGCAATACAGCTGTGCCCGAGTTGGAGGCATCGTGTCAAGATTATGAGGCTGGTACCGAGTGGAGAAAATTTGTTGTTACAGAGGCTGGCGGCTGCCGTGGAGGTGGCCAAATCTAGCCATGGAGCCATATGTATTGCTGGACCCTCGGCAGCGGGCGCTGTACAGGGATGTCATGCAGGAGAGTTACGAGACCTTGATGGCCCTGGGTAAGGAGGCATTTTCTCTCGCATTCATTACAAGCAGTCAATGTGCCCCCCACCCCAGTCACCCCAGGGGTTTAGACTTCCTTTGACTTTAAGTGTGTGGGCTCCTTGCTGTGATGTACATTATTGCCTCGGAGGGCTGCAGTGGACAGGGCATGAATGCAGTCCTTGGAGCAGGGTCAAGGGGTGACAGCAGAAGGGGGAAAAAGGGAGTTGCAGACAGGACAATGAAGGAAGGGCACCAGCAAAGAAAGAAAGAAGTCAGCATTCGCCCAGCCAGCAGGATGAGAAAAGACTGTTCCTGGTTGCTGGGAGGAGGTGGACACCTTGGAGAGGGAGGCAGGGTGGCATGAGTATGTTATTTGGTAAGGGTTAGGAGAGAGTCCGTAGCAAGGACAGGAAATGTGGCAGGGGTGCTGGGCATGGAGAGGATCCTCAAGGGGCTCAGGGGCACGAATGGGGGAGTGAGGTGGTGATGAGGAGCAGTAGTGTTGTCTGCACTGGAAGAAGGGAACAGCAGCTTGTGTGAAAGGGGGAGGCTTCAAGCAGGGAGATGGTGTGGATGTGACACTTTCCTGAAGGGCTGTGAGCGCGTTGGAGTCTGCCACTGTGATAGTGATGAGGGAGGGCTGGGGCATAGAGATAGCCAGTGCCTGAAGGCGGTAGGAGCTGATGTGCCCCAAAGACCAGAGAAGGAGCAAGGAACTAACAGTGGGAAGGGGGCAGAAAGAGAGCAAGAGCCCCAAAGGCTTCTGGGAAAGGGCTGCTGAGACACTAGGAGACCGCCAAGCCGGGGAAGATGAAGGCCAACCCTAGCTGCCACTCATCCTGTTTGGTTTTTATCCTTCTCTCCTCCAACAGAATTTCCCATTTCGAAGCCTGACCTGCTCTCCCGGCTGGACCATGGGGATGAGCCAACAGCTCTGGACCTCCACGTGCCTAAAGGTGCCCGTGCAGGTGAGCAGCAAGTTAAATCCACCTGGGTGCTGCGTACCCGCAAGGCAGCAGAACAGCCTGTGAGCTCGCCACGTCAGGGTTGGGTGGGCGTTGTACCCTCATGAGAAGTGTCATTCGTGGCTTTCATGCCATCGCGACTGACCTGCCATCTGAGGAGATGAGGAGCCAGAATCGTTCTCCTTTCCCTTCCTCCCCTCGGGTAGGGTTTTGGGTGGCGACTTCATGATCTCTTCAAACATTGACCATGACTGGTTCCCCTGGCACCTGCCATTCCCCGTTCACCTTGGCACAGCGAGAAACTAGCTAACACCTGGATACTCTCTTTTTCTCCTTCCGTCAGCAGAAGGGGCCACAAGCGAGAACGAGGAGGAGAACCCCGCGCGGGAAAGCCCTAAGGAGCCAGAGTCGGAGAGCCCTGAGAGTGGGAAAGCTCCTCTGAGCTCTCCTGAGGCAACAGGGAAGGCAGCAAAGAATGAGGCGGGTGAGGCTGCGGCCCGCCCCAGTGAGAGCCCCAACACCTGCCATGAGTGCGGGAAGACCTTCAGCCACAAGTCAGCCCTGGTGAAGCACCAGAAGATCCACACAGGTGAGAGGCCCTATGAATGTGCCGACTGCGGGAAGAGCTTCATCCAGCGCTCAGACCTGACCATCCACCAGCGCGTGCACACTGGGGAGCGCCCCTACGCCTGCCCCGACTGCGGGCGCCGCTTCAGCGTCAGCTCTTCCCTGCTCACCCACCAGCGTACCCATGCGCCGAGTGGGGAGAAGCCTAACCGCTGCCCGCAGTGTGGCCGCAGCTTCACGGACCCCAGTGCCCTGGCCCGGCACCAGAAGAGCCACTTGGGTGGGAAGCCCTATGAGTGCGGGGTGTGTGGGAAGGCCTTCGCCTGGAGCTCCCACCTTGAGCGGCACCAGCGCATTCATACGGGTGAGAAGCCCTTTCAGTGCGGGGAGTGTGGTCGGGCCTTCGCCTGGAGCTCTCACCTGGACCGCCACATGCGCACCCACGCGGCCGTCGTGGAGGCGGCGGAGGAGGAAGCGGAGGAGGAACCCCCGCCGCCCCCGCAGCGCTGCGCCGATTGTGGCAAGCGCCTCAACCACCAGACGGACCCACAGCGCTTCAAGCACAAAGGCACACAGACCCATGCTGAGGTGGAGGTGGAGGAAGGCATCCCCGACCGACCCCACTGCTGCCCCCACTGCGACAAATGCTTCAGCCAGAGCTCAAACCTGCTCAAGCACCAGCGGGTCCACACTGGGGAGAGGCCCTACCCCTGCCCCGACTGCGGCCGCCGCTTCCGCTGGGGCTCAGCTCTAGCCAAGCACCGCCGCACCCACATCCGTGACCGCCCCTCTGAGGCCTCCTCCAGTCAGGGCTCCCCAGAGGATGCTACAGAGGAGGCAGCACCAACACCACCCACTGCTGGCAGCAAGCCCTACCCATGCGGTGCCTGTGGGAAGAGCTTTGGCTGGGTCTCGCACCTGGAGCGGCACCGGCGCATCCACACAGGAGAGAAGCCGTTTCGGTGCGGGGAGTGTGGCCGGGCCTTCGCTGTTAGCTCCCACCTGGAGCGGCACCGGCGCATTCACACTGGGGAGCGCCCATATCGCTGCGGCGATTGCGGGAAGAGCTTTGCCGTCAGCTCCACCCTCCTGGCGCACCGGCGCACCCATGCTGCCCAGGAGGGGAGACCTCACCAGTGCCCTGACTGTGGCAAAGGGTTTGGGGCTGCTGCCAGCCTAGAGCGGCACCGGCGCCTGCACCGGGGTGAGAAGCCCTACCAGTGCAACATCTGCGGCAAGGGCTTTGCCTGGAGCTCCCACTATGATAGGCACCGGCTCACACACACAGGTGAGAAACCCTTTGCCTGTGCCCAGTGTGGCAAGCGCTTTGGCCGCAGCTCCCACCGCAACCGGCACCAGCGGGCCCACGCCCAGGGGGGCAACGGAAACATCAGGGAGAAACGCCATGTCTGCCCTGAATGTGGTAAGGCCTTCAGCCTCAGCGCCGCCCTGGCAGCCCATCAGAGACTCCACTTGACCAGTGCCGGCAGCAGCAGCCCGCTCTCCCTGCTGCCTCCTGCGTGGTGGGAGACCGAGAGAAGGACAGGGACGCCGCCACCTGAGGCCTGGGCTGAGGACCCCACTGCTCCATTCCAGTGCTCCGACCCTTCCTCCTCCTCATCCTCCTTGCCTGGGGCATGGATGGCCAAGTCCCTTGTGCCTCCTGCTGCAGCTGCTTGGAGACCTGGGGAAGTAGAGGGCAGCCAGGCCACCAACACCACAAGCCAACTAGAGAGCTGGGCCCAGCTGCCTCCCCCCAGCTCCTAACTCAGCTCCTGGCTAACTTGGGGGAAGGGGGAATCTGTGTCACCAACATTAAGCTCCCTATTTTGGGGAGAACCAGAAACCTCCTGCACTCTGGTCTTCATGACTATGGGTGGGTGACTGACCTGCTTCCCTTCCCTTCCCCCAAGCCAGGTACCCCTCCAGGTGTGATGGCACAGTGACTTTCAAAACACCGTCACTGGGATCTGCCACTGATGCGGAAGATTGCCCTTTAAGCACTTGGTGTCTGAAGCACCCCAGAGTGCCACGAAAGGGGCAAGGGGGCTGGACGGGCAGGGAGTGAAGGGCTGACATGGGGGTGAGTGCGTGCTGGGGGCAGGGATGGAAACCAGAATGGGGGTGAGGGCGATGCTGAAGGGTTAGGGGAGGAATGAGTGTTAGGGGATGGTGGGTGGGAGCGCAGGAGCCAGAGTGGGAGGGCAGGGGAGCAGAATGAGGGAGGGGGCTATTCAGGGTGGGGGAGGGTGGGATATTAGTTTCCTGGGATTGTGGATGGCAGGGGAGGAGAGGAGAGGGAAGAAGGGAAGCACTACCTCCCAGTATGACCTTTCCTTCTGTTCTTTTTCCTCCTCCTCCATAGGGAGTGAGGGAGGCCTCAGAGCAGAGAGTCTGAGAATGAGAGGTGGGGCAGCGCTTGGGAAGATGCAGACAGAAAAACAGACAGCAAGTCTGTCACTGCAGCAGAGGAAATGCTTTGGAGCAGAGCATGTTTCACCCACAGGGTACCCAGCTGTTGGGCGCTCCAGGATCAGTGGCTGAGAGAAGGGCCTTTTGCAGTGGCCTAAGCATTGGCAAAAGGTTGGCCTCATTCTTAGGAGCCTGGTGCCACCTTTTCCCATTGGGCCCTGTCCTGAGTCCCCTGATGAGAGGGGCTTAGGTAATGGATTCCCAGGGAGAAGTGTGAGGATTGGTCTTTAGAGCCACAGACTCATTAACCTCACTCTGTGGCAGGTAATGTGATGGGGATGCTGCCTTATTGTCAGGGGGATGAATTCACACAACACCATGAGAAGGAAACTGTTTCCATGGAGGCCCTCCCCATGGAAAGTCCCTTTGTGAGCACAGGGCATCTTGCACCAACAGCAGTAGCCATGGGAGGGCATCACATTTATACTGTTCCCTTGCTCCTATGAGACTGAGTCATGAGCACCCCCAATGGATGAAAGATGATTAAGTGGGCTGAATTGTTTGATTTTTTTTTTTTTTTTTTTTTTTTTCCATGCAGTTGTTTCATTTGCATGAAGGCTGAGTCTGATCCTGCCATCCTAGGCAGTCAATGACACAACCCCCTTTGGCATCACTGGGCACAGAGACAGGTCCCATTTGTTGAGCGATAAGAAGTCACTTCTGGAGACAGGGAGAGAGTGGCACAGGAAGAAGCTACTGCTCAATCTTCACATTGACAAGAGTTAATTAAGATACCAAGCTGGGATACAAGGCTCAGCTGAGATTTGAGGCACCTATGACAGTAGCTGCTGGTAGACAGGGGGTTAAGACAACACAACTTAGTAACCACAGCTGACAACTCCATAATTCTAGTAGGACAGAGGTCCCTGCAGCCAGGTTATGAGATTTTGTCCATCTGAAACCGAATGCCTGTCACACCCACGGGCCTGTGCTGTCTACTTGTGTCTGATGCCTGTGAATGCAATGAATGAAGTTGGACTCAGAGGTGGGGTAAGAGTTGTTTTTTTTTTTTTTTTCTTTTTTCTGATTTCCTTGCTTTGGATTTGAGGGTAATAAAGTAGAAGGTAGTTTAGCAAAAAAACCCTAAGTGTCTTGCAGTCCTTTTCCTTAGTGAATGTGAGCAAGAATGGGTCACAGGGTGGAGAGGGAGACCTAAGAGCAGTGACACTCGCTCTCTTTAAATTTTTATTATTAATATATTTCATGTGCCAGGTCAAATTAGTTCCAAAGCATATTGGAACAGCTGAGTTCTGCTCAATCAAAACCCATATTGAGCTCTGCCTGCTCAATCAGTCATTCTAAACACCAGGTATGCAGGGCTGGACACAGACATGAGTGAACTAGGCGAGCACCCAGGGCCCGGACACAAAGAGGGTCCTGAAAATGGTGAAAATTATTATTATTATCATTATCTCTGACAAAGGGGGGCCTGATACTAAAAGTCTGCCCAGGGCCTCCAGGAGTCTAGGTATGCTGTATGCTATTACAAGTGAGACTCCTCTGTCCCAGAGGCTCGCCCTAGGACTTCAGATATTTCTAAATCCATTGGCAGGCATCCTTCATGCAGGCTCAAGCCCAGAGGTCTTGGGATTCAGATGTCCCCGTGGCAAAGTGGGGCTCCCCACACTTGCCTTTGGGAATGCCCCCCACCTGACTCACCTGCTATGCCTTGTTCTTAATTAATTATGATATTAATTAAGGTGGGAGGCTGCCCATTCTTGCCCTGATGCCAGGGGGTGCTATCCGCGGCTCCGTACCTCCCCTCCCCTGCCCAGCCCATGCCTCGCAGATGGCATCCAGCTGTTGATCTCACCAGCCTCACACTGGGCCCCAGAATCCTTCTATCGGGACCTCTCTGAGATCCCTCCATTCAGGCGGCCTACTCCACCTTCATTTGGGCTGTCTAGCTCCCTGAAACATTTCCCCTCTTGGGCATGGTCCCCCCCAGGACGTTTGGCCACACAGGCCCTGGCCTCACCTCCAAGGCCAGTCAGGACCTCAGGCCCTCAGCTCTGGGCGTCCCTCACAGTGAGCCCCTGGCCCTTTCAACCATTCTGGTCTTGGCCCCAGCATTGACCAGTCAAGGGTACTTTACATCAGGCCTCTGCCACTCTAGCCCTACTCTCTCTCTGGGGTCTGCCTTCTGGTCCCTACTAAGGGCTACCCCATCCGGTTGTGGGAGCTGGGGTATCCTCATACCACAACTGGTGCTCTAGGGTCTCACAGGGACTCGCACCCCCCCCAGGCAGCAGGTCATTGTGCTCACTCTATAGGTCTTGTATTTGACCCACACTCGACCTCCTTACAGTCTCCTTACCACACAGTTCTACATACAGATCCATTAGGCTGATAGCAAGCAGATCACTCAGGAGACCCAATTCTGTGAGAGTGGCTAATTGGTACACAAGGTTATGAAAATATTTACAGTGGCAACTCTGCAGGGAGAGTCTTTTAAGCGGTGAGAAACGTCTCCTGCTCAGCATCTCCGTCAACGCACAGCTCTTCTTTCTGGGAGCCAGCACTGTAAATATTTCTGTCCTCGGTGGCAAATATTCTGCCCCTTCACGAGCACTCTCCGTCCTCACCTATATTTTTAGGGTGGTCATAATTGGGGTGTGGGGGGGGGGTTGTTTTTTTTTTTAAAGGGATCTCATCAAATTTGGTAAACTTCAGTGTTGACCTATCCCTTAGATACTTTTTTTGTGCAAGTTCAAAGGTTGGTGCCAGTTTAGTGGCTTATTAGGTTGCGGTGGCAACAGCAGGCCAAGAGTATGCAATTGTGTGATGGGACTAGTGTCATGTCCTGCTACCTCCTACTCCCCAGCCTGAGTGACAGAGTGCCCATTTACAGCTGGACCCGTTGATGGCCCGTCCTTGGGCCCACACGGTTCAATTTCTTTATTAGTGACTTGGACGATAAGGTGAAAAGCAGCCGGTTTAAATTTGCTGATGATACCAAGATTTGGAGTGAGGTAGGCACAGTAGTAGGGAAGGACAGATTACAGCAGGACCTGGACAGGTTACAGGGGTGGGCTAACAAAAATAGGATGTGTTTCAATACTGAAAAGTGCAGGGTGCTGTACCTGGGCAGTAGTAACCAGCAGCACACTTATAAGATGGGAAACTCCCTTCTCGAGAACACGGTGGCAGAAAGATCTTGGAGTCATTACTGACTCCAAGATGAACATGGGCCGACAACGCGAGGTCATGGTCGGCAGGGCTAACCGGACCTTGTCGTGCATCCACAGATGCATCTCAAGCAGGTCCAAGGAGGTGATCCTCCCCTTCTATGCGACACTGGTCAGGCTGCAGCTGGAGTACTGTGTCCAGTTCTGGGCGTCGCACTTCAGGAAGGATGTAGACAGCATAGGGGGTCCAGAGGAGGGCCACCTGCATGCTCAGGGGGCAGCAGGGCAGGCCCTACGAGGAGAGGCTAAGGGACCTGAACCTGTTCAGCCTCAGCAAGAGAAGGCTGAGGGGGGACCTGGTGGCAGTCTATAAACTCATAAGGTGTGGGGGGGACCAGCAGGGTTTGGGAGAGACCTTGTTCCCCTGAGCACCCCCCCCCCCCCCCCCCCCCCCGCAAAGAAGAAAAAAAACAACCCAA